GCGGCGCTGGATTCCTCTCCTTCCTTGGATCTACCAGCAGCACCAATCCTCCAGTGGCGAGCCACGTTTGAAGATCATCATCAAGCAAGGCTTCCAGTTCTACCTATTTTGCCTATTTTGCTTTGTTGTTGTTCTAGCACATCACACGGAATGTTAAAAGGTTTGATCATCGCGTGGGCTGTTCTCCGCCGTAGGATGAATCGTCGTTGCCGCGCTGGAAAGTGTAGGCGTGTTGGCACGGATAAAAACTTAGTAACTTAGGGTTTGTGGACGAGAGCTAGGAGCGAGCGATCCACACGCTAGCCCGATGTAAGTGATGTCGATCTAAGGCCGCCCTCGGGCGCGCCTCTTGCTGCTAGATAGATTGGAGGCTAGATCGCTAGGAGAGAAGGGGAGGGAATAAAATGGCGCCCACGGCCACCACGGCAGCAGTGTCAATCCCTCTTCCTTCGCGCCCTCCGCGCCTCGACGCTGTTGTTGCTGCCGACGACGCCGGGGAATTCGACTTCTCGGACGTTTTTGGGCAACTTCCATCCGTCAAGGAGGGCGAGGCTGCGGATTGGGGCCAGCCGGAGCTCCACTACGTCGCCGACACGCTGGTCATTTGTAGCCGGTCACACTCGCTGGTTGGGCCGTCTCCTCGTCCCAGCTTGAGAGTTGGCTGCCCGCTGGAGGAATGCGAGGCCGGGGACGATGCTGGTGGCGAGGACTCCGACTTCTCCGACGCTGTGGATGTGGAGCAGCAGCAGGAATTCGACGACACCACTCGCAAGCTCGGGCCTGGCGACTTTGAGCTGCTCAATCTCGTGGGCCAGGGCGCCTTTGGGAAAGTTTTCCAGGTCCGCTTGAAGGGAAGTAGCGACATCTATGCCATGAAGGTTATGCGCAAGGACAAGGTGCTGGAGAAGAACTATGTCGACTACATGAAGGCCGAGCGAGACATCATGACCAAGATCGTGCACCCTTTCATCGTTCAGCTGCGATGCTCCTTCCAGGTACTCGAGTTTTGCTTTGCTTTGTGGTTTGCTGTGAGCGAGCAGTGTTCTTCCAGACCAAAACGAAGCTGTATCTCATTCTGGATTTCATAAATGGCGGCCATCTTTTCTTCCAGCTCTATCGCCAGGGGACTTTCAGGTACCTTTGTCTTTCGCTTCCTTCATGCATTTAGCTTTTTACTTTCCTTGCCTGGCAGCGAGGATCTCTGCCGCGTCTATGCAGCAGAGATTGTGAGCGCAGTGGCACATCTACACTCGAAAGGCATTGTACATAGGGATTTAAAGCCTGAAAATATTCTTCTCGACGCTGACGGCCATGTAAGCTACTCGAGTCGAGGCACTACTCGAAATGTAACACTCTGGATTGATGGCACAGGTCAAACTCACTGATTTCGGGCTAGCTAAAGAGATTGAAGAATCGGATCGAACGAATTCTTATTGCGGCACGGTTGAGTACATGGCACCCGAGATCTTACTCTCAAAGGGACATGGGAAGTCAGCTGACTGGTGGAGCCTTGGAATCCTGGTGTATGAGATGCTACACGGCATGGTAAGAGAAACCATCCGTTTCCTTTTTCAAGTGTTCACGTCGTGTTCTTGCAGCCCCCATTCACAAATCGCAACAAGAACAAGCTCCAGCAAGAGATAATCAAAGGGAAGCTCAAACTCCCGGGATACTTGTCAAGTGAAGTCCATTCTCTGCTAAAAGGGGTACGTAGCATGGAAGTCTATGGAGGCGAGCAGAGCATGACTGTATCGTATTTGTTTCTTTGCAGCTCTTGCACAAGGACCCCAGCAAGCGACTCGGGAGTGGCGGGAACGGGAGCTACGATATCAAGCGGCACAAATGGTTCAAGTGTATCAACTGGACCAAACTGGACGCTGGATTGATCCAGCCAAAGTTTGTGCCGGTCGTCCAAGGCCGGGCCTGCATTGCAAACTTCGACGAGAAGTGGACCACGCTTCCGGCGCAGGATTCTCCAGCGTCCACCCCTCGAGCAGCCGATATCGACATGTTCCAAGGCTACACTTACGTCGCACCCAACGTTTGGCTCTCTGGCAGCAGCTCTTGAGACGGACGACGACACCGTACAGTGATCTCTCTACACTTAAACGTATATAAAAAAACGTGTGACAGCCTTTTGAAAGTGAAAAAGTGTGTAGTGTTCTAGTCCCAGATCATGACCACCGCTATGACGGCGGCGCCAAGCACGACCGCCAAAAATCTGTAGAATGATGTGTCCCAGAATGATGCGCGATCGGGAACAAATCCTTTGGCCAGGAGATGGTTGATGGCTACGTAGACAAAAACTCCACACGCGATTCCCATGGAGATGGCGTAGATCCAATCCGCGGCCGCTCCCTGAGCCGTGGAGTCGATGATGATCCCAATGGCGACGCCAATCGGCGTGGAGATGGCGAATGCGAAGGAGTAGAGCGAGGTGGAGAGCAAGGGCCTGTTGGGCATGATCTTGAGCAGCGCGATTCCCATGGCGATGGCGGCAAATAGCTTGTGAAGGCATATCGTCCACAGATTCCTCCATGCGTCTCGCTCGGTCGCTGCGAAGCACAATCGATCACGAGGACGCATGAGATGGATCGTCAACCAGCTTGCCTGCAATGCCGATCGCGATTCCCTCAAACACCGAGTGGAAGCAAAGAGCGATGATGAGTAGCAAGCTATCGCCGAAGGACGCCTCCTTGACGATGGCGGGTGCGGTGACGATGTTCTTCATGTTGAGAGTGTTGTCTCCCTGGAAATTTGCAGCATTTTGTCAGTGTCGGCCTAGAAGAAACACGACTTCACTTACAACAGTAGACCCTCCTTGGTGAGATCATCGCCTTTCCCCGACGATCACAGCGGAAATGAGGAAGAAACGAGAGAAGCACGTAGCGATGACTTACCAG